TTAGGATTCTATGCTAACATTAAAACATCTTATTTATAGAGTAGTAACTAATAACAATAATAATAAACACATATTTATAAAATAGTAAAATAAAATTATAATTATTGTGATCATGATGATTCTTCTTCTCATCATTATTATCATTACTTTTGTTTAAAGGTAAAATATCTAGAACTGTATAGGTTAGGATTCTATGTTAACATAAAATTATACAATAGTATATTTCTGATAACAGCTGCCACATTAAATCAGACTAATGTTTACTTGTTTTAGTTTAGCTTGAAAATTCGATTTGTTAAACGCCAGAATAATAAGAAATAATCTTTCGGATATTTCCCCAGATTTAGAGGTATTTGCTTTTTAATCATTGTAATGCTAGTCAAGCATTTTTCATGTCATTTTTGCCTGTTCACCTGTTGAACAGGGCCGCTGGAAGTAATTTTGAACAGGGGGTGCTGTGAATTTGTTTTTTTTTTTTTTTTTTTTTTGGAAAAAAGGCTTATGAGTTTAATAGATTGAGATTTATTTTCATATACACTTCAGTGCACGCAACGAGGGTCTGTAACACACAGACATAATCAGTTCTTGCGCTATTAATAAAACTTCACAATAACATTATAACAATGTAGATTTGGTCAGCTGGCATGGACATGAGTCTATGGGTTTAGGTTTGATCTTAGCTTTGGTAGAGACACTATTGGTCTTAAATTGAATTGGTCTGAAGTCATTCGTCCTACGCATTATGCATGCTCCTATTTTTTTATGCTTGACATGAGCATCAGGGCACATTTCGTTTAAAGAGAAAACAGCATTTTTTACTACATTTGTTTTATAAACACTAAACACACAGGATGCTGTTTATCAATGTTTGACGCGTCAGTGGCTCAGAAAAATGTAAAAATGGGACAACTTAACACTTTAAAACGGTAACATTTGAACTTATCAGTGACTCAACTTTTACCAGAGTGTACCTGCAGTATCTATACTTCTACTTCAGTAACAAATGTGTGTACTTTTGACACCATGCAGGTGTCTAAATGTTGAGGTGTGCTCTGGGGTCGAGGAGATAAAGTCTCACATTAGCGATTAGGCCTCAAAATACTCGTAATAGTAAAACAAACAAACAAACAAACAAACAAAAAAAAAGAAATACATTTATAAATTGGGTAAAGTTTTTTTTTTTTTCATTTTGTAAAATCTCCCCTTTGCCACTAGGGGGTGCTGCTGCACCTCCATGCTGCCTGACACAACTTATTTAGATCTTCCTACACATTTTATATTAGATGTAGAGCAGATTTTTGGTTTCTTTTTTTTCCCAGTAATTTAGCTGTATAGTTAGACTCATTGTCCTTTTGGAAGACCCATTTTATATAAGCATTAGTTCCCCTTAAGATGATGCTTCAACATCCCCACTGCCTGTTCTTTCCGCAACATGCCTGCAACATCCTGCAGCAAAACATCTACACAGTGCTATGCTGCCTCTCTACATCACAATATGTACTGGTGTTGTCAGGCGCTCAGGTCAAATCATTTTTACATGGATATAATAGCAGCACCTTTCAGCAACTTGATCAGAAGAACATGTCTGCATAAATTTATTTTTCTCTGAGTGTAATTGGACTGCAATGTCTTGCTTCTGAACTTTTTACATATGGTAGGCGATTAGGGGGCCTTGTTGCAAAAGGAACAGGTATAAGAACTCTTGTGCAATATTCCATTAAAATCCTAAACCAGTGAAAGCATAAACAAACGGATTAGTAAAGTTATTGTGATGAATTTCTTTTGTGTCATATGTCAACTGACATATTCAACTATTAGGTCTTATGGAACTTGTTAATTCATTTTTAATAAAATAAGGATAAAATGAAGTTATGTTTTAAAAGAGTGCAGCACTTTTTGATAAATACTGAATTACTTTGCCTTATGAATACTATATATATTGTTGCCTATGACAGTTTACATAAAAAAAAAATTATTTGTATTTATAATTGACCTTTTTATTGTATCTTTTGTTCTGGATGGATACATTTCACATCAAAGCACTTGAGTCGTCTCCCCTGAACAGTACTATGCATGAACCAGTTCACGTTTTGCAACACTTTTTGTTGCCTCACATAGCATTAAAGCAAGTTAAAATATGGAAATGTTTCTAGGGGTTATTTTAAATAGAAAAAACTCACTATGACAAGTGAAACGTAGGTACCTTAAGTTGACACTAGGTGGCGTAGAGTCACATAGATTTCAGTTTTCTGCTCCTCTAAGTCCAGTACAGTACATCTGGAAAGTAATAGAGAGCCTTACTGGGGGGGAAAAGTGGAAAGATGGTTTAGGAGAAAATTGTAGAAATATTTAAGTTTTATAAAATGATTAAACTACAAAATATAAAGCCCCCCTCAAAAAATGCATTGGTAATTGTTTTCCGTTCCACCAACAGTTGCCTACTTTTGTTGCACTACGTTGTGGCCTGTGGTGATCGGATATTCTCTGCCCTGGAAGAAAGCTGAGACTGAATTTTCTCTTTGAGCCAGCAGATCAATACATCAACAGCTTTGTGCAAACCCACAGAGGCTATAACTCAGCATATCTGCCACTCAGGGTAGATATGGGAAATGACTTTAGAGATTAGGAATCACTTCTTCTTGAAGGAAATGAATATAAATTTTTAATTTGTGACCCATTTCTTTCAATCTTTGCCACCTGTAGTACCCATTATTTTTAACCTAGGACCTCTCCTGAAACAGTCTACCCATTTAACTTTCATCACTACTTAACTGCAGAATAACTGCAAATATCATGTTTTTCAATGGTGCCCACAACAAATCAGAAAATGAGCTTCATTCCAGGAGGTTTTATTGTTTTACCTTAAGTCAGTTATTTAACCTTCCCAGACTTGGACACAACTATGTATATTTGGCCACAATTTAAACACCATTAGTTGGAATGATAATGTTGGTCAATTATCCTTCTTGGATAAAAGAAACCGGACTATACAGAATTGTGCAGTAAAAACAGAACTGGGCTCTGTATTTAAAAAAAAAAAAAACAGATTTCATTAGCTATACTTTGCTTCGTTGTCCCAGTGAAACCCTCAAGCCCTCATACTGTAGTAGATGATTCATTGCACCACATTGATTTGAAATGTGGCCAATCAGCTGCTTCAAAGCCAGTTCCCCTCAGGTCTTCTGTTTACTTTCACTCTGTTTTCTCCCTAAATGACCAGGGTGGGCTAAAGGTTTCCATAAAGCATATCCCTCATCAGAGGAAAGGGGTTCAGTTTGGATCATGAGGTAAAAAATAAAACTCTGTCAATTCACAAATTATCCTATATTTGCTAACTAACAATTCCAGCAAACTTTGTTTAGGATATTACTGCTGCATTAAATTATATTACTTTCAAATCAATCAGTTTGCCACACTTATTAGCCATAAAACTAGTTCATCTATAGTTAATTATTTACTTTCACAAAGAATGGTTCCTATCATACATTAAAAAAATAATTTTATTTATTTACCTCAGTGCTATTATTTATTATCAAGCATGATGGCGACAATTTACTCAATGTTTCTAAGAAAATCACAATGAACTGAAATGGATTTTCTTTTCTTTTCTTAGTAGTCCTCTCCTTTGATTTAAAAGATTTTCAAGCCCCCTTGAAATCTTTTTTACAGTTAAAGAAACTATAGTAACCCTCAATGCAATAAAACAATCTCCAGTCCCATTTAAATAACAAACATACTTCCTTTAAAGTGTAATAATTTCAAGTTTAACAGTTTAATTTACTGTTCAATAGAATTAAACATTTCTATAATGTATTTATTATCTCAAAAGTGGTAATTTATTCAGTTCACATCTACCATGCTTCCCCTGCAGCTACATGGAGCACCCTCTAGGGGGCGGGCGCCCTGTCATTGGGAAGCACTGCTTCATCAAATCCTGAATATAACCAAAATATAACAAAAGTAACTATAGAGTTCGACAAATGAAGAAAAAACAGGCAATATGATTATTGTTTGACACATTTTATACGAATAGGCTTTTTTTCACAACAACCAAAAATTATTTTCAGGATTTTCTATCCAGATCCCAGTGATTATATCTGTCTGGAATAGAAACTACAAATCTAAAATTACTCAAGTCACTTCAAAAGTCTATCCTACTGTGATACGTTTTTGCTTGAGAATTTCCCAAAAAAAGAGGAAACATTGTAAAGATGCAAGTGAAATAATATGACATCACATACCCTTATTTTAACCTATTGCACTGTTAGTCTGTTAAAGCCTAATAATACCTGCCTATTGTGGGTCAGAACCAAAGCTTTCCCAAGTACTTTATCTAATTAGGACAGTTCTCCTGTCAGGATATACAGATATGATCTTCTTATACATAACAGAGATTTGGAAATGAAATGGGGGCATGGACAGAGTGGATCTTTCTTAACAGTAATTTCTTTGTTTTTATCTGGGACACTCTGTAATATTTTGATATGAGGGATTTTTCCTCATATACAAACATTTATGATCTGTACTGGAGTTGTATAAAATGCTTTTTAACTGGGATTCTCGGCCACTCCAATGAGAAGTGAGCCTGGTTGGTAAATGTTACCTTCTGTAACTCAAAGCAACTTCTCTGTCTGAGTAAGATTACAATTTCTGTCAAAAACTGTTGTCATGTTTCATGGTTATTTAATGCATATACATTATGAAGTGTTGTTTAAAGAGTTTATCTTGAGTAATCTCTTCTCATGAAAAGAACTGGAGCAAGAAAGTTTCAAGGTATAAACACTGAGCTTTTCTTAACAGCACTATGTCAGGCCCTGTGGGGTTTTTATTTATGGAGTGTCCTTTATTTGGCTTACATCAGTTTTCCTATCATAGAGAAACACATCCCTATAACATCTTGGTAAAACAATTATATTTTTAAACCATCTGTCTCTGCAAAAAAGAAAGAAAGAAAAAAAAGTTGGGGTTATATCTGCCATGCCAGTTTACCAGTTTGGCTTTGTGTTTGTCAGCGTTTAGTGTGGATTCGGCACCATGGACAGCGCCAGCTGTGGCTGTGAATGAACAATCACTGCAGCACTGAGTGGAGCCCCAAAACTGCATTGGTGATCAGAGTCTTTCCTCTTAATAAAAAACATCCTGCTTGTTCAGGCAAACCCACTAATGAAATACGCATTCATTAGATGAGCAGCTCTAATCATAGAGATAGATGACAAATGTTGTCGTGCAACAGGTGCAGACACACACTGTTGAGATTTTTGAGGCAAGCTTGTAGAGCTCCTGCAGCCAAAAAAAAAAGAAAAAGAAAAGGCGGGTTTTCCCTCTGGATGAGTAATGCTGCTGCGCTGCATGCGGCTTCTCTCTCAGCCAGAGACTGCCAGGAACATATTTCATCGGCAGTGTGGGGAACCACGTGTCTCCTCTAACTAGAAACTTCCTCCACCCCGGCAGGGCTGCACCAAACTGCACTAGAGATCCGGAGGTAGCTCTTTCCTTCAAAATAAAAGTCAGGATTGGGAATCAACCTTTTTGGCACTGAGTTTTGCAAAAGAAATTGTGTTCTTCTGTGTTATTATGTCTTGCTTTATGATCCAGTAAGATAACATATATTTGAATTAAAGTTTAATAGTCAATACTTAACAGAATATTTATACTGCTGCAGCCTTTTACATTGCATCATATATGTGGAACATCTCCAGCTCAGCCAGATTGGATGCAGAGTATTTCTGAATATCCGCAATTTGATTCAATTGAATATATAGGTCTGGACTTCAAATAGGCCATTTAAACATCTGCTTTAACTGAACTGGAAGGTAAACATCTTCCCGATCCTTAAGTCTTTTACAACTTTTTTTTTTTTTACTTTCAAGATTGTTCTGCTGATTAACCTCTTGGACACTAGGCCTGTTTTCGAGAAATATGCTTGAAAATAACATGCCCAAAATGAATTGAAAGTTCAGAGTTTATTTTTATTGTTTTGGTATCAAAATAAAGGCAAGACCCCAGAGAATATGTTACAGGTCTAAAAACCATCTTGGGGCGAGTGCTGAGGACCCAAATTTGGGTCCTCATGTTATGAAAAGGTTAAAAAGCTCCCACACAGCATGACGCTGCCACCACCATGTTTACAGTGATGATTTGTTAAAGTTAATGAACAGAGTTAACTCTGCCATTCATCCACATATGTGCTTCTTCCTCTGTAGCCTTTTGCAGTTTGGTTTTCTGAAAACAATGGCTCAACCAGAGCTCTGACTCTGACAGTATAAGTGGTTGAATGCATCTCTGTAAATGATGCATCATTGATTTGCTTCCAAAATAAACGCGCACGGATGAAGAAATGAGAACACATGGGTGGATGGATGATAGCACGTTTTATTTTGATGCTGCAAACCGGAACATATGTTTGCTGTGACCGCTTCTACTCAGTTTGCTGGTGGGGGTATCTATAGTCAGTGCACCTTGTCGCGTCTCACCGGCCGTCGGTCCCCTCAGCGCCGCTGAAGAGGACTCTGCGTGGTGCCACTGTGAATGGACTGAGTCTGAGGAACTGGATAAGAACCCCGACCCCAAAAAACACCCAAAATAAGGTCACCGCGTCTTCCGCATCAAGTTTCTGGACACACTGAGGGCATTAGATAGAGATTCCAGCAGCTTCTTTTTTTTTATTAACAAGGTGAGGAAAAGCTGGAGGAGGCGGAGAAAGAGGAGAGAGGCAGACTGACAGCAGCAGTATCTTGGCGCATTGGAGTTTATGGATTATTGAGGAACGCGGATCAAATATTTAAAGGAATTATTTTACAGAGAGAGAAAAAGATAGTGGGATATTGAGAGGGGGGGATTCCGTGCAGTGATTCACCAGCAGAAACACTGACTATAGAGAAAAGGAGTGTGTTTGGAAAGGACCCCCCCCCCCTCCCTCCCCTTCCGCCCCCCTCACCGCTGCAGCACTTTCATGCCGCACGGACGGAGTGATGCCACCGAGTTGCTGACGGACACCCGGCAGGTTCTTCGCACTCCTCCCCCCGCCCCCCACCATGCACTGACGGACGCATCGACCCCCTTCCATCCCCTCTAATATGCAATGGTTTTTTGTGCAGAAGCAGACAGCCGCCGCGTACAGCCGACTCCACGCTAGCGCCGCCGCATGCCTGACCGTCGCCGCCGCTCCGCTCCCCACGCCGCGCGGCAGACGACGCCATCTGAACAGGAGCGCTCGGGGGCTTTTGGCGCCGCGGCGGCCGGGCGGCAGCAGTTACCCCTCCTCCCCCGCTGAGGACCACCGGCCGCTGGGGCAAGAGGAGACGGGGAGCGAGGAGAACACAGCCGCAGCGGTCGCTCTTTTCCAGCCGCTCGAAGGCGACGCGGAATACCTTGTGGTCTCCGAGCTTGAGGGGAAAGCGGGCGATAATCCGGGTGAGGAACTGGGCTTCCTGCTGTTACTTTTGTCTATGGTGCAGATCGGAGGGGAGCCGCACCGCCGAACTGAGCCCGACAGCTGGCCGGTTCTGCTGGCATGCAAACAGGGGGGTGTATCAGCCCCCATGCGGTGGGTGAATCTTAGGCATCCACAGAGCCTCTCCTTCTACAGCCCCTTTTCCTCTTCTTCTTCCTCTTCTTCTTCCTCCTCCTCTTCCTCCTCCCCCGTCTCGGCCAAATCCATGCGGTTTATTTGGAACAACATTTTCAGCAAAGGATCGCATATGCTGCAGTGTCTTTGTGGCAAGAGCCTCAAGAAAACCAAGAACCCAATTGGTGAGTTTGTTTGCAAGTGTGTGCCTGTTCCTCCCCAACCCATAGCATGCGTGTGTTCAAGCGTGACAATAAAAGTGACAGTAAAATACTTTATTATGTATATATTAAGGGGAGGGGTAATGCAAACTTATTCGCAACAACACAAACCCTATAGTTGTGGTGCATTTCACTAAATAATAAATGCAGCATGCAGAGACCTTAAGGCTCTTGCAACCTGCAGGATTAAACAAACAGCACAGCTCATATAGGAAATATAAAGAGAAATATTCCTCTTTTTTACATTTTCAGGTTTAAGTTATGAAAGAACTATCCTGAATCAAGACCACCACTTACCACTTTCACAATCTGCTCTGTGAGACACACCACAGAGTACAGAAAGACACTAGTAACTGCTCCCAGTATTGGCATATTGATGTTTTGGAAAGTTGGGGGGTGTCTTTAGAGTCATTAGAGTACAACAGACATCTCTGTAAAGCAAACCATTTTAGGTACTGAAAAAAGGTGATTTTTTTTGAAGGGAGATGTTTTGTAGAAATTCAGCAAAGCCGAAACTTCAAGGTAAACCAACGCTCTCCCTGAAAGAGTGGACTGTGATGTAAAAGTTTCAGGGTGCGTGAAACCACAAGCCAGTGAGCAGAAAAATAAAAATGCAATCCGTGTTTTGAAGTGGTAATGAGGAGGATATCCGTTAATGGTGTGTCTTCTCTTTGACTTCTAGTGGCAACAGACAACTCTTGGATGAGTTATTAAAGGAATAGTACACCCAAAACATGATTAGCCTTCATTTTCTACTCACCCCCATGCTGAACAACACTCTGGAGTACTTTTTTG